GATTTTTTTAGAACAAGTCCGAGTCAAATAACAATGATTTGAAACACTGTTTCAACATTTATAAATTCTCCTAAATTGGGGCAAAACAATGTGTCCATATGACTAATAAGGATTACCCACCCACTCCACTCCTGATTTGACAATATCTTCGATGGGAAATCCAATGACAGTACTTAACATTAATCTTGATTAAAAGGAAACAAAACCTAACCAACAAGATTATAATTAAAGCAGTGGATCATAATTCACAAAATATCAGAGATACATAGCCGAATTACTAGCTGCTTTTGATGCAAGCTAATATCGTTTTACTTTTCATGATTAAAAGGTAAAAAGTTACAAGTTTTGTCATTTTTCATCAATATTTTGTAGTTACTTTTGGTTCGTCTACGTTAAATATTACAGGTATAATTGTCGTGTTTTTGTCATAAAATATGTACAGTATTTGTTGCACAATGATCTTGCCAAAATGCCAATGTCATTTGATGATGCGAATGTTAGGCTTGAAATTGCAGCGATGCTGTTCAAAAATAGACAACTGGGGCAAGTTGGTAGGGAAAAATCAAAGTCAGATGACTGAATTACTATTGATGAAATTGTTTTCATAATAGATTAGGTTGATAGTTGTGCAAAGTTAGATAAAACAGATGTTTTATGATGTAGTCGATAGATGTTATCTTTATCTTTGTAATATGTTTTGGAATTGAATGAGAATTCGTTTTTCTCAAGTAGTTGGTACAAAGGAGGTGAAAGTATTGGTCTTTATGTGTATGATTTTGTTTATATCATTTAAGTATTTTATAAAGGTAAAAGTTTATATTTGCACGGTCTGAACATGTTACAAATGATCACAAATGGTCATAATTGGTGACACATGGTTAATGTCTTACATAATTGCAAGTCACAAATGGTCACAAATAGAAACATTTTGTTACAAATGGTCACATAAGCTTAATATGTATGGTTTATGCATTTGTCAAAAATAGTATACACAAAATTGGTCACATTTGGTCAAAAATGACATTCAGACTTAATTAAAACACTCGGTCAATTAACTTCGAATTTTATTCATAGTCGGTCACAGACAACCACCGCCAAACCAAAAACATATAGCTTGTTACTGCATTTTGTGTTAGAAATGGTCACAGATGGTCACAATCATCATAATCAGAGTCACAATCAATGTCTGTTTACACTGCCCTTCCTAGAAACATGTGTGATATCGTGAAATATAATATGACCTCTATGCATAAATTTTTCGTCTCATATAATCCAAACAATACATAGTTTGACAATAAAATGAAATAATTTGCAATTACAAAGAATATCATCGTGTAAAAAAGAAATTAATACGCTAAGCTATTTTAATTTCTTTAGATCTTTCTTTGTTTTCAATTTGCCGTTGTTCTGTTTAAGTGGCACCATGTTCCTGCATGTTTGACGATTGTAATCAGATTCACCGCATCCTTCACATTTCACAACTTGCGATATCTCACAAGCTGACCTCTACCTCATCCCAGTAGGCCGGCTAGAACTTTTCTTTTGGGTTGGAACAAATACAACTCTATTATTCACATTTTTCGATAAACTCCATTCTGATTTATTACCTACGGGAAAGACTGTCTCTTTGTAGGTATTCAGATATGCATCTCTTGTGTAATACACCGCGCAAAAGTCGTACACATCCAGCTTTAATATTGCTATCACCGCCTGAGCATGTGGTCTGGGAAGATG